ACAATCAAACTCTAAACCATTTCCCTAGGATTATGAAACCCTCTTTCTGGAATGAGTTTCTTGTTAAGAAGAATATCTCATATCGACCAGAAGTTTCGACAATGAAAAAATTCCTAAAATCAAAAGAAGAGGATTGACACTTGGTACCCTTGGTTTTAGAGGACATAATAAAAGCAATGAGGAAGGTGATGACCTGAATGGTAGATCTATTTGATGTTTTGGTGTATTTCATCTACCATTGAGTTAGCAAAATCTTCGAGTGATATAGGCTAATCATTCTCTCCTTTAGAGTTTTATTGAAATATTTTCGGTATTTTTCTTTTTTTAAATTTTTTACAGTTATTTTTATTTCGGGGTCAAACAAATCTAGTTTAATAGTTTTTGTCATGCACATACAACTTAAGACTAACTGGTGACCCTAAGCTAGCAGTCATAAATAGTGAACATCACAAAAATAGCAAGTACAATGTAGAACAGCACAAGATACAAGTGGGTGTTGCGCCATATGGTCTGAAGCGCTGCAGCGTTAACAACGTAATGTTGTGGAGCTGCTCTACATAATTTATTTTTTCACACAAAATAACAACAAAAAATTACATTTTTAAGAAGCATAGATGCAATAATGGTTGATATAGAAAATAAAATAATAGTACAAATAACAATACCATAATGAATTTAAACTTAAAATTTTCACGTAATATTAACATAAAATAAGATAATTCCTAAACTAGTTGACAATCAAAGACAATTACTTCTTATTATCTTCTAAGATATAACAAGCATTAAAGTCTCATATTATGATTAAACTTCCTTAATCCTACGAGGACTCCCATGAATCCTTATTCCCCCTACATGATTGCAAACACCTCTTAGCAATATTTTTATTCCACTGAGTATTTGTGTTTTGATCTAGTTGTATTTCTTGTCTTCTTCCTACAGCCCTAAATTACAGCATGTATTAACAATTTAAATGGTTATTTTGAAGTGTAAATTAAGATTGGAAATTTAAAACATCAGCTTCAACATGCAATTCTAAAGAGTCTTAACATGAGTTCACATTAAACCTTACGCAACCAATTCAAAGAAACAATGCTTTAATTTCACATCAAGAGTGAATAGACCATATATATCTTAATTAAAAATATAAGTTAACAAATTAAAGAGAATAGTAGAAAAATCAAAGAAAGTATCCTTGCTCCAAGAGAAACCTTCTTTCAAAGTGCCACTCCTAATGCTTCCTTCTCAAATATCACTCGATAAAAGTGCAACATACTCACAACACTCTTAGAAATAAGAGACTGACTAAAAAGAAGACTGAAGAGGGCTTCTGCAGTCTTCAAAAGCCTCTCCTTATATAAAAATTCAGGCCAAACTGTCACTAAAACCGTCCAAACTGAACTCCATGATTATAGATAGCGTCACGACACTATGGTGGGAGTTGTGGCATTACATAGTTGTGATGTGTTGCATGCTCTCGGTTTTTGAATTCAGGCATTGTTGTGACGATGCCGACTTCCTAGTGCACGAGCGTTGCTGGTCTGAGCATTGAGGCGCTTGCATCTGATGTTGCAATGCCGTGCTTTCGAGTTTCTATCATCAAATTCAATTATCAGGTGCTCAATCTAATACTACGGCGAAACAAATGCAACTCTAGAATACTTGGTTCAAAATTTTCATTTCTTCTCCAAAAGATTTGAACATTTCTGCACATTGCATAAATAGACAACATATACAATGATAAATCATAAAAATGAAACAAAATTGTAAGAAAAATACAACATAACTCCATTTTGGACACTTGTCAACTGCTAATCAAACTTATAAGATTATATGACTTTCAAGCCCTCTATCATCAATAAATAGAGTCTACTAAGTCATCAAACGACAACAAAGCAACATGATTTTAATTGGATTATCCACTTATCCCCACTATATCTCAATTCATAAAACAAAAAATAAACCAACATCAACCCAATGCACACAATATGTCAGTAAACAAAAGTGTTCTCAGTTACCACACCTAAGAAGTTAACCATAAAAGCATGCATCTATAAAAATCTTGATCCACAAAATCTAATATAACGCCTCAATAGTTCAAAATTTTATATAAAGAAAATCTTTAGTTAATTAATAAAGGTTACCTTTAAAACTCTATATTACAAAGCATCCCTTTTACTCCAAAAGAGTGAGAGAAAGACTGCCCAAAAGCTCATAAGCATAAAAAATGTGTTCCATATAAAAATTACCAACATCTTAGAATTATGACAAACCGCCTTGAAACTTAGCAACAGATTGCCCTTTGTACCTCTTCCACCCATTTGCCTAAATTTGGACTAAATGAAGTAGAGAGATCCCAAGAAATGCCCGAGAGGAAAATAAATTTGTCAAAGTTGAAATCAATCTCTTAAAAGTTGCCGTAATAAAAATAATAAAATAAAGAAACTATAAAAAATGCAGTCAAAATTGCCAATTTGGCTGCTCAAGTTTAGATTGAAGCAGTTCCTGTTCATGAGAGCTTACAAACGAGAGAAGATTTGGCAAGTCATGGAAATTGACACGACTAAACAGATGACTTCCATGAACCTATAGAATGAAGTTCATCCTAAATGATTGTCATTTTACTTTTTTTATTTTCAAAAAAAATTATAATCTGTAAATGTTGATGTCTTTATAATTTCTTATGTTCCCTATTCTTCTTTTATTGTTATTTTGCATATGTCAGAGTAATCATAAAATACAGTAGGTGTAGTCAACGAGTATTAAGATTTCTTGTAATAACTCTAAACATTTTCCAACTTAAAGCAACAATTTTAAGCTCTCTCACCCAAGCGAAGCATTTCAAGTAAACTCTCTCTAAAGAGATAGGATTGACTACTCCACCTAAAGGATCCCTATGGAGGATTTCATCAATTCTCCCTAAAGAACGGGATGATAGTTTACTCTTCATTAAAAAGAGAATAAGATTATTCAATTAATTTTCCTTGAAGAATAAGAGAATTTGGTTGGCTCCCTTTAAAGAGAGAGTTGATAGTCAACTCTTTCCTAAAATAAGTAGAAGATCTCCCTAAAAAGGGAGAGAATTCAAACAATTCTCATTAATGAGGAATAGTAGACTGTCCTAAGGAGAGATGGAACTTGACTTTCTTTGAAGATGGAAAGAATAGTTGCTATCTTGAAGAAAGAAAAAAGCTCGATATCGGACACTAACAAGTGCAAGGATAGCTTCAAAAATATTGGTAAAATATTCTTTTGAGCCTATTTCCTCATCTATTCTTGTTTGTATCTTCTCCTTGTTTTTCTAGTTTTTCATGCTTCTTCATGCTTTCCTTGCCATGATATTTGCCTCGTTGGTCCTTCCTTCAAAGCATCCAAATTCTTCTTCCTACTTCTTTTGGCTCAATTAGAGGGAAATACTAGAAGAGAATGGGTATGCATCATTTCGAGAAGGGTGTCCTAATGTTGGCTTAATTTTTCAAGAAGGGGTATTCTAGCTAAAGATAGTTGGATTTTAAATTCAAACTCTCCTTGTGCTCTACTTCAGTTTGATGCAGCCCACCTTGTAGCTTCCATGTAGCATTGTATGCTGCATACACCAAATTTAACTTTTGCACTTAACCTGAGTCTACTTTGTGTCTAACCCTAAGCTTGAGTTTGGACTCGAGTTTGAGTCTAATGTGGCTACATAAAGTTAGCCAATGTTGTAAACTATTTTTTTCCACATATCGCTTGGCTAGTCAGTTAACCAAGCCCAAATTGCATGAACCTACCTCCCAAATCAAGGGGAAAGAGAATTCAGTCGAGTATCCATGAAGAAGTAGAGAGAGAGAGAGAGGTTAGTAGCCTGTCAATAAAGATGGGAAGAATTCAATGAACTATCAATTAAGAGGAAGACGATAATCAACTATTCACTGAAAAAGAAGAGGAATTGATCGAATCTTCCTCAAAAGGAAGAGTATAGTCCCTCTTCTTAGGAGAAATAAGACGATTTGACCGACTCTCCTTGCTGGCGAAAAGGATGGTCAACTCTATCTTAAGAGGAATCAACCTAAATTCCCAGAGTCATATTTGGAAGAATGGAGTAGTGATTTATTTGTATGGATAACTACCTTTAATAAACTTTCATAAATTAGGATTATACGCTCGAAAGCAAGCAATATGGCATTTTTTATAGAAAATAAAATCTGCTGGATCAGATTGAAGCATTATATTACGAAAGACACTTTGAATGAAAAAATATTTGCGTAAACTTTATTACTTTCCCCGCTTGTAAAGAAAGCCATCAGAACTATACGAAGCATGGCTTTGCCATCAGATGATTGGTCTAGTCTTCCTTAAGCGAACAAACCTGGTTAAAAAAAACAACAATTTGCAAAATCAGCACAATTGAAATAGAAATTTGCAATGAAAATTGCTAAGGTGGAAGACCAGATGCTGAGAGAACTAGTGATATACATGTAACTGTGCTGGAATAATAAAAACAATAAAAACAGTAAAAACAATAAACAAAACAACTAGGACATAGTAGTCGCCCTGCATTATTGTATCACATCGAGGAAAGATGAATGGAAAATATGATATAACATGAAAATACTGTTAAATATTTCTAAGTTTAAAAAAAAATAACTGTACTTAGCAATGTGGATAATGACTATACACCTCAACAACAAAGAATCATGCACAATATGCCCCTTATCTTATTGTAGATCGAAAAAATAATTTTGATGCAACATGATTGCTGTTTTGATGTGAATAAAAAATGAGGCGCTTACACAAATTAATAAATTAACAAAAAAATGCAAATTAAAATAACTTCTCTCATGGAAGCCATAGAAATATTACCCCAAACAATGTGAGAAGAGTTGTAGGAAAGGGGGCAATGAGACAGAATAAAAGCTTCCAGTTTTTTAAATGCTTAAATATCCATTAAGCTATACATGAAGTTAAAGAGCAATCAGAGTCAGCTAGTAAATTGGTCATATGAGTGTCATTGTCAGTAGTAACTAATATATCATCCAAAAAAATAACACAACCTCAGGGGAGCTCGAGTCGTCCTCCGTTCTTTTTCTTCCTCATCGTGTAGACCTGTCATTCCTCATCCAAGGATTGGCTCACCTGATCAACAGAATGGTCTGAAGTGTGCAAAATGTGTAGGTTGTTGAATATTAGAGGCAACTACTTATTGTACCATCTAATATTCTTTCGGGTCGAAAGAGCACTCTCGTGTGTCTTGGCATGTAAGTGAGGCTTCTTCAGTAAGTGGTATTAGCACATTTGGATCTGTACCTGTAGTAAAGTGTTCTTCATCTAGAGCTGTGATGTTGGAAAGAGGATCAAATTGCACCTTCTCAGCAAGGATGGTAGATGACTGATCTTTAGCGATATTCGACCTTAGATGAGGATGCAAACGATAGCAAATATTACAACTATGGCCAAACATACTACAATGTGAGCAATATGGAGGATGTGGTTCTATTTTAACCTTTTGCCAATATCCGTTGTAAATAGTGTCAATCCATATTTCATCCGGAGTTGGTTGAGTGATATCTCTCTCAACTAATACACAATCCACAGAATATCTGGTGACAGCAAGCGTAAGACTATATACCTTTAGAGACTTACCGTAAGCAGTTGCTAAAGAGTAGAGGATTTCCATGTTGAACAGATGTAATTTTAACCCCGGAAACTTTATCCAAACTGAAATGATAGGGGACTCCGCTTTTAGAACAAAACTGACAGTCCACTTCAGAATTTTCATAAAACAATTGTCGATCTTGATAGCTTTTCGAGAGAAAATGCGAGTGTAATCGACATCGTGAGATAGTTGAATAAGTATATGTCGACTGTCAAGTAGGTCAATGCGTCAACTGCCCAATAGTTTCATAGCATCAAACTCCTTCCTAATGATCTCCAATTTTGGGTAACCACAACGGAATTTCCCCACAAGAGCAAAATGCCAAGAGGACACAAGAGTATCGGTCTCATCCTTTGTGAGAATAAGTGCAGACTTCCAATGTTTTTCCAAGCTTTTTAATAAAAGTGTGATCACCTCCACCTTCAAGAACCTTGTAGACCGATTCACCTTCAAGAACCTTGTAGAACGATTGTGGAACATTGCAGGACTTACTGATAACAAAACCAGGCTCTGAACTTGGAGGAGGGGCACGAGCAAAAATGGGCAAGTCACCGGCAAGGGCATTTGCATAGGAACGGAGCATCGATGCCAGCTCCCATAGTCAGGAGAGAAACAGTTTGGCGGGCTGCAAAGAAGCGAGCAAACCGGGCATTATCGGGCGAGGAGACAGTTGCGTGGTCGTCGGCTATGGGAGACGAGACAGTCGCGATGTCGTCAGTTACGGGAGACGACTACGAGAGAAATCGCCGTCATCAATGGAATCAGACGACGACAGCAATAGCGATCCTTGTCGACAATGGAGACGACTTGGAGTGCTCGACTTCAACAGGAGAGGCAAGGAGCTGCAGCTACGTGAACGTCGTCGTGGGAGACGCCGAAGAGAAGCGATTAAGCCGATAGAATCACAGTTCCGTCGTCTTCGTCGTCTCTACTAGGGCAACCATGGTTTTGCTCTCGGTTATATATATATGAGAACTGACAAAAGCATCAAACGGCTCGTAGGAAGTCTAAAAGAACAATCTGTGATGCTAAAAATTATTCTTTTAGTGATCTTTATGATAGATTAGATACTAAGAAGGGTGAAAAATATATGTATAAACTAGCCAATCAAAGAGAAAAGAAAAGTAAATATTTAACCGTAGTAAAGTGTATTAAAGATGAAAATCAAAAAATGTTTTTCATGAAAAAAGATATTCAACATAGGTGGGTAAGTTACTTTGATAAATTTTTTAATGAATTTTCTTAAAATAGGATTGAGTTTAGTGATCATAATATCGTTAATAGTAATAAAATGTTTCATTTTTACCGTCACATTAGTTAGAAAAAAAGTTGAGGAGGCTTTAAAGAAAACCAAGGGTGGAAAGTTTGTAGGACCTGATGATATCTTAATTGAAGTGTAGAAACATTTAGGAGATTTGAGAGTTTCTTGGCTTACCAAATTCTTTAATATTATTTTAAGAACTAAAAAGATGCCCGAGTGGAGGAAGAGTATTTTGGTCCCTATTTTTAAGAATAAAGGGGATGCACAAGAGTGTGCGAATTATAGAAGAATTAAGTTGATGTGTCATATTTTAATATTATGGAAGAGGGTAATTGAACATAGGTTACGACGTATTACAAAGCTTTCTCATAATCAATTTAGTTTTATGCTGGGCAGGTCTACCATGGAAGCCATACATTTATTAAGAGGTTTGATGAAGAAGTTTAGAGATAATAAGGAAGATCTATATTTGATATTTATTGATTTAGAAAAAGCTGACGATGAGGTCTACATTGAAGTCTAAAGGCCTTCGTTTGAGTAGAACTAAAACTGAATACATGGAATGTAATTTTATTAGCGTAGCTCTAGGGATAGAAGTGTAACTTTGGGTGATCAAATTATTAAAAGGTGTGAACGATTTAGATATCTCGGGTCTGTTGTTCAAAGTGATGGTGATATATATGGGGATGTTAATAGTAGAATTCAAGTTGGTTGGTTGAAATGGAGGAAAGCTTCTGACCTTTTGTATGATAGAAAAGTACGGCTTGGACTGTAAGGGAAATTTTATAAGAGGGCGGTGAGACCAGCACTGCTCTATGGCGCTGAATGTTTGCCTTTAAAAGAGAAGCATAATACTAAGTTAAGTGTTATCGAGATGAGATTGATTAGGTGGATGAGTGGTTTTACACTTAGAGACAAAATGCAAAATGAATTTATCTGTGATAGGGTTGGTGTAGCTCCAGTGATGGAAAAAATTAGAGAGAGTTCTTAGATGGTTTGGTCACATTAAATGTCGACCATCTGATGATCTGATTAGGAGAGTAGATGTTTTAGATTTGACATGTTAAGAAAGGCACAGGTAGACTTAGGAAGACTTGGGCTTATTGTATAAAAAATGATCTTAATAGGAAAAGCCCAAGGGCTAATATATTAAAGAAAACAAGATACAAATATGTTGAATGAGATGGCCTAAAGGAAGACCCAACTCACACAATATATATAGATATATATATAGGAAAAGTTCAAGGGTTAATATATTAAAGAGAAAAAGATACAGATATGTTGAATGAGATGGCCTAAAGAAAGACCCAACTCACACAATACAACACACACAACTCCAAATAAAATAAAGATACAAAAGGATAAAAAACCAAAAAGCCACCAAGGGCGCAAAAATACTAGGGACGTTCCACTTTAGTCCTCTCTCTGCCTCTAGTTCTCGGAAAGGACCTGACTAACAGATTATTAAGGTGCGTACCATTACTCGAAGTAACCAAAGTATCGTCCATCAGATTCCTACGCTCAAGTAGTTCTTCATTCTTCTTCTTCCTACTAGATGTGTAGACCTGACATTCCTCATCTGAGGATTGACTCATTTGATCAATGGATTGTTCCAAAGGGGGCCAGACAGGCTGTTGCACATCATGATCCCCATGAGCCTAAGTAACATTAACATTTTGCTCGACCTAATGAGGCGGTAGTGAAGCAGTAGAAGTATTGTCACTTGTAATAACTGTGATAAGTTATAGAGCAGGTGGGGTTTGAAGAATCTCCCTCGCCCCCACGATAGGAGGTTCCAAAGACGGAGGGGCAACGACATTCTGTGAAGACTGAATGGTTGACTGTCATGATAGTGACATCTTCAAAAGTATGCTTTTGATGATCAATAATGTCAATAACTAGAGGTTGAATAGGAGTTGGATTCTCTGCCTATGGCGGAGCGCTTTGCTTTTTTGGTCTAAGTTGGAGGTGTAGATGGTGGCATTGAGAACTGGAGTGGTCGAACATACGACAGTTCGGACAACAAGAACGAAAAAGCTCAATCACTACTTTTTGCCAATATCCATAGTGTTGTGTCCAACCAAATCTCTTCAAAAGCGGATAAAGTGATGTCTCTTTCAACAAGTACTTTGGCTTCAGATGAGATAGAAAGATTAAAAATAAAAATATCCATTTTAGGTGGCTTACCATAAACTGAGTCAATAGAGTAAAATATTTTTTGAGTGAAATAATGAAATTTCAAATCAGGGAGGTGAATCCAAACCAGAATGATTAGTGGTTCTGTATATGGGTCAAAATCCATAGGTCATTTCAGAATTTTCATTGTTTTGTTATCAATCCAGATAATCTTTCTAGCAAATAAACGTGTGTAATTCTCTTCATTATTAAGTTGAATAAGTGTGTGTCTTTCATCTACAAGTCCAATTTTTCACTCTCCAACAATATGCATAAG